TTTTTCCTAAAAAAAATTATGTGGGGAAACGTTTATTTTTTGACGCTTTGACATTAACTGTGTCAAAATGAAAATGAGCCAGTAGGCAGAATATGAGGTATCTTGTTTTGTTATTAACTGTTTCGAGAAAGTCTACTGACTTGGATAGATTCACTATCTTGTTGACTTCTTTTCTTCGTAGACTTTTGAGTAACCTGTAGTATTGTACAGGCTTGAACTCTCCATTACTATTGGTGATTTCTTCCAAAGCTCTTTGGAAAGTTATCCCTTTGTTCTTTCTCTTGTGTCTTTGTTCCTCTGTTGCTAGTTCTTTCTTTGTAATTTTCGTAAAACCATAGAGAACCTAACCTGGGAGTAAGGTAAACACAGAACGCGAAACACTCTTTGTTTCATTATAAGTAGCATGTCCGTAAACCTAGTGTCAACGAACTACAATACATTATTAAAAGTAGTCAAGTAAGTGAGCCATAACGTTGAGAGCTCTTTGACGTCAATCGGCAATTATTATGGCCATACGCTAGAAAAACATCACCAAGGAAAGAGTACTTTGCTGAGTCACCATAAAATTGATAGTTACTCCCACCACCGTGTGTATAATGTTGGTTAGGTTAACTAATCTAGATCAGCCTTATAATGTAAAAGTGTTGTAAAATTACCAGTGTAACAATTGATTGCCAAATCATTCGAATAACACTTACGAGTTTGCATGGCGCGTGCCAAAAAGAGATTAAAGGCAGTGGTCACGATGGCTGAAAGGCGAGAGGGTTTTGTGACGTCATTAAACGTCATTGGTGGACTGAACCCTCAGCGTGGGGCGTGTAGGCGCGACCGCCTCTTCAACGCCCCTCCACCAGTGACGTTTTGTGACCTGATCAAAACCGCACCGCCCTCTAGGGTTCGGATGCTTCATCCTTCATCCCTTTCACAAGCGATCTTAACCGGTAATTACTCCACGAGCACGCGCGCGCTAGTATGCAAATGGACATCGAAGGTGCCCTCCGATTTACTCATACTCCAAACCAAGGCTGCACTTGAGAAGAGAGAATCTGTAAAGTTTTTTGCACACTTGAAAACAAAAGTGCATGCATGATTCAAAGCAAGAATGTGTGCAAAAACAAATAAATTCAAAGGTCTCGCAGCCAGAGGATGGTGCACGGCAAGAGAAGAGTACGAACAGCTGCCAGTCAGAGTTGAAATAGCACGGATTTGCAGATAATGTTGCTAAATATTTGATATTACATCTATCCTATTTGTATGTGTTCGCGTTAAAAGTTATGTTTGCGGTCGGAGGTAATGTACAGAAAATGCTCACTGCACGGCTGGTCGAGGAGTTAAAGGAGGAGTCTCCGGAAATTCTTGCATTCTTTCCCAACATGAATATGTCAGTTGTGATCACTAGAGACAACACACAAAGTTTCACGCAAGAAGATTCAGTTTCCGAAGAGAAACAAACGAAAACCACACTCTATGGACGGTCGCGGGTAGGTCGGGCGGAGACAAGGGAACGCATGGAAAGAAGTGCGCCTTGGGGCGGCCACGTATCAGGCGACGCATGAAAGAATCCAATAAAGCGTTCAAATTTGAGAATAGAGATAAAGTAATCAACTGAATAGAATCCAGTGGAAGAGTGAAAAATTTTGTCAACGGTAAAAGGCCAAAAAGAATTTTTGTGAAGGCACTCCAAGGAGCAAATAGAAGCGTTCCTGCCGCCCCATTTGTGACAGACGTACGGCGGGAGTTAAAACGCGTAACAGTAGACTCATGGTTTTTCTGTGGACAATTCCTTTAACTCCTCGACCAAGTTGTGTACTCCGTCCAAGGCTGGCTGCTTCAAACCATTGCATAGGCCAAATCGCATTCAAACGCCGCTACAATTCTGAATGGAAATAGGGCGCGCGGCGCATATCCAGAAAACAGTGGCCGACATGAAACTCCTCGCGCGTTGCTGTTTTAGGGTCATAACGAAAAGAAGGACCTGAGAATACTGTTTGGTTCGCTTCAGCATATCATAGGGGCTGCAGAAATTGCCGAATAGTGATGGCTGGTTCGATGACCCCAGATTCGGTCGATATGTATGTTTTCAATGGTGCTGAACACCGTTTGAGTGTGGTTCAGTATTTCAGAAAGCGACTTTAGTGTTTTGTGCGCGAACTATTTTTCGCTGGCATGAGCTTCCCAGGACCACTCACCGGGTCACGGTTGAACCTAAAGTTCCAGCGACAAAAATGTTCGCCTGCTTCGAAAACGCCAAAAAGTGCTTTCTGTTTTAGTGAACCACATTCTACCGTCCAGGCTCTACTGTTTTTGAAGTCTTACTAAAAAGAAGAGCCTAAAAATACTGACTGCGGCTCCTCACAAATGCTGCTGAAAATGGTGATGCGGAACACACCGTCTGAAGTATTTTTTTTCTGATTCTGAGCGAAGGCTTTCCTTTTTCTTAAAGGAATCTTCCGCGGAAAAAGCTCCGCCTCCATTACCACAAAACGATACCCCTTAGGCCCCTAGCCTCATGAGCATAGCAAAAAGAACGGAACATAAGCGTTAGTTTCGATAATACTAATCCTACACACAAGACAAAATGATCACTCTTTCCGTGGAAGATTCCTTTAAGGTATCGTTTTCTGTGGTAATGAGGGCGGAGCTTTTTCCGTGGAAGATTCCTTTAATGCGACCAGCCGT